AGTCGTAGTCGTAGTCGTAGTCGTAGCCGTAGTCGTAGTAGTAGTAGTAGTAGTAGTAGTAGTAGTCGTTAGTAGTAGTTAGTAGTAGTTAGTAGTAGTTAGTAGTAGTAAGTAGTAGTTAGTAGTTAGTAGTAGTTAGTAGTAGTTAGTAGTAGTTAGTAGTAGTTAGTAGTAATTAGTAGTAGTAGTAGTAGTTAGTAGTAGTTAGTAGTAGTTAGTAGTAGTTAGTAGTAGTTAGTAGTAGTTAGTAGTAGTAGTAGTAGTTAAGTAGAGTAGTAGTAGTATGTAGCTATTAAGTCGTAGTAGTAGCAATTACTACTATACTACTAGTACTAGTGAGTTAGTCGTACTAGTAGTATTCGTAGTAGTAGTAATATTGGACTAGAGTTAGTAGTAGTAGTATGTTAGTAGTTAGTTGTAATAGTACGTAGTTTAGTCTTAGTAGTCAGTAGTAGTAGAGTAGTAGTATGTAGTAGTATGTAGTTTAGTATATATGTAGTTTAGTAGTAGTAGTAAAGTAGTAGTAGTAGTAGTAGTAGTAGTAGTAGTAGTAGTAGTAGTAGTAATTCTTGTTGTTGTAGTAGTACTGGTAGCGGTAGCACAAGTAGTAGCAGTAGTAGTCGTAGTCGTAGTAGTAGTAGTGGTAGTCGTAGTAGTAGTAGTAGTAGTAGTAGTAGTAGTACTACTACTACTACTAGTACTAGTAGTAGTAGTCGTACTAGTAGTAGTCGTAGTAGTAGTAGTAGTAATATTTGGACTAGTAGTAGTAGTAGTAGTAGTAGTAGTAGTAGTAGTAGTAGTAGTAGTAGTAGTAGTAGTAGTAGTAGTAGTAGTAGTAGTAGTAGTAGTAGTAGTAGTAGTAGTAGTAGTAGTAGTAGTAGTAGTAGTAGTAGTAGTAGTAGTAGTAGTAGTAGTAGTAGTAGTAGTAGTAGTAGTAGTAGTAGTAGTAGTAGTAGTAGTAGTAGTAGTAGTAGTAGTAGTAGTAGTGGTAGTAGTAGTAGTTGTAGTTGTAGTAATAGTCGTCGCCGTAGTAGTAGTAGTAGTAGTAGTAGTCGTCGTCGTCGGCCTCGTCGTAGCCGCAATCGAACGCGTAGTTGTTGCGGTCGTCGTTGCCCGGCGGGTTCAGCGTGACACAGAAATTCATATCCCTTATTGGCGGGGCCCCGGTCCTTCAATAAGACCGCCAACTCAATAATTCGCCACCTCCTATCATGGGGGGTCCAAGGACCTTTCAGTTCGCCGTGCACTCGGGCGAAAGGCGCGTCCTGGCGCGGGACGTTATCTTGTGTGGCTCGTGCGGCGACCCCCCCACCAAAGAGCTCTGGAGGGCTGGTGGAGCTCTCCCAGATGATGTCCAGCTGCTCGCCATTCTTTTTGGACCTTGCTTCCTTGCTACCCTCACAACATGCAACCATCTGAGTGTTGGGCCCCACCATTTACGGCCGCGGACCTGTCTGTTCTCAGTGTCCGTGTCAAGTCTGACCGTGAGAATGTTGTGGATTTTTGGTCTCCAGACCAGAGCGGTGTTCTTACAATAGAATGTCCCCGGGATTCTTTTTTATAGGTTGAAGCCATGCCCGACCGCCAGGAAGTTGACGTCAGGTTGGGCACTGCAGAGTTGTTGCATCCACGGAAGAAAGATTGGGCGGACGCGGTGGCCATGTTTGGAGCTGGCCTGCACCCAGACGCGCCGTAGGCAGAGCACCGATGCGTGGACCACCTTGTTGCTGATGTAAGGGCCGCGGTCAAACCCTCAGCCAAGATTCTGCCTGTTTGGATGTCATGGCGCCCACATCGCAGAGCGGATTTCGTGCGGAAAACGGTAGGGTGAGCCCGGAGTGTCTTAGAGAATGCCATTCCGGATTTCGAGGGAAATCTCGTGCGGATTCTTGGGGTCAGGAATGAATATTTTAAACAGTTCATGCGAAATTCACGTTGTTTTTCACTCGCCGTTTTTTTGCATAGTCAAAATTCACGCACAATCCGCTGCAGCACGTCTGCAAGGGCGGCGCGCCGATGAATGGAGCAGAGCTGGTCAAGAAGCCTCGGGAAGAGGCTGGCCTGCCACTGACGCCCCACGAGTGGGCGCTGTTCGGCAGACCGTCCCAGCGTTTTGGCCAGGCCCTCCCCGCTCAGCGTCGAAGCCTCCCAGCGGCAGCTGCGCCAGAAACCTTGCGTTGGGTCGTGCATGTCCCCCAACAGGCAGATTCTGGGCGAAACTTTGAAAAAGTCAAAGCATTCAAAATATGATCAAAACTCGTCGAAAAATATGTTAAAAAGAAAACAGCAGAGAGAAACCAAACAACTATTTGGGAATTTGTTTCCTGCGGAGAGACAGGTCCGACTTAAGCCTTGCGCGCCCTTGGGCGCACTTGCTTTGTGCTGGGCTGGAGTTAAGCCAGTCATGTCCAACTACAGGAAGGATATTCAGGAAGAGTCAAGAAGTAGTCGGGGGACGATTTGTTTGACTATTTTTGAATATGTTTTGGGGTATGTTTTGAGTTTTGTGTGTAGCTTTCGTCCAAAGTTCCAACTTGCCCGACCCAAGTTTGGAGTGACAGTTCGTTTGTGTGCATCTGTCCGCGTTGTGACGCGTTCATTCCAGGGGAGCGGATCGGGAAACTTGGTGCGTAGCGCATTTCGCTCACCCATGCAAGAGCGAGAACTGGAAATGGGTTGGCGAAGGATTCCGACCGAAGAGGGACGGGGTTGCAGTCGAGCCTTTTTCTGTTTGCCCAGATTTCTGACCGTGGATGTCCAACATCCTCCTCCTCTTCCTCCTCCTTTTTACGCTGATCGGGCTTAAGCAAAGCAATTGTATCGTTCTTGAAATAATGTAATCCCGACGCGGCGCACAAGTACCTGGCGGGCGCCGCGGCCAGTGATGCAAAATAAGTCGGCGACGAGAGGAGAAACGAGTAGGCGCTCGCCAGGTAACAGAGGGCAGCACGAACCTTAGTATGACTGGCCCCCATAATTCCTCCTCCTCCTCCTTCTCCTCCGGTTGATATGTCCACATCAATGCTGCTAAGGGTGGTAGGCTGCTCAGAGTACGTGTGAGTTTCGCACACTAGATTCTCGCACGATTGCTCGCTCCCCGCGTTCCCTGCTCCTGCCCCTATCCGTTATCCCTCCCTTCCTTCCTCTGCCCCTCCCCCGCCCGCCCGCGCCCGCTTTTCCGCCGGGTGGTGCCGGAGGTGTCCCTGGCACAGGGCGCCCCCAGGATCTGCAAGAGGGGGCCCACGGCTTCCAGGGCCCCCCCCGCGAGGACCAGCACGGCCCCAGCTACTTCATCACGGGGCGGCAAGCTTTGGATACAACCATGATGCGTCCCCAGGAATCCTTAAGAATTGGAGGGGAACTGCAGGAATCCTGCGGGTTCCTCTTAGGGATGCTTAGGAATCATATGGAACCCAGGGCGTCCTCGGGAATCTAGAGTAAGCCATCAGATTCTACAGGAATCTGCAGGAATTCTCAGGAGTCCTCAGGAATCGTGAGGAACTCTCTTTCTCAGAATCTGCGAAAGTTCTTACGGCTGCCCCCCCCCCCTGGCGGAGGACCGCATCGAGGGCGCGCGGAGCGGCAGAGGCGCCCCCCGCGGGGCCCCTGACGCCGGGACGCCATGGGATGGGGTCCAGCGCCTCCCGCTGAAGCCCTTCGTCCTCCTCCTCGTGCCCCTCTTGGACGCTGGACTCAAGGCTTCCTAGATGGGATCGGAGTAGACGGGGTCGGAGAATCGTGCCGCATCGTCGAATCATCGGCGATATGTGGGGCCCGATTCTCTCCACGCTGGCGTCGCCGATGCTTCGCCGATGCATCGCCGATGCATCGCCGAAACATCGGCGACGCATTTGCGATGCGTCGCGATCCTCCGACCCCATCTACTCGGACCCCATCTAGGATCAAGTCGGGCCTGTCCCTCTACAGGGGGAATATTCAAAAATTGTTTACAAAATAGTCTGGGGACGATGTTTAAAGTACCTTTGTTTATCTTTGGACGTTTGTTTGATTCGGGCGGCGTGACCGCAGCTGACGCTGCCTTCCCCCACCTCTTCTGCTGGGGGTCTGGGGGTCGCAGCAGCTCGGCGGCGGCGGCGGGGGCCGACGAAGACAGGAGGGGTCGGGGGCCGAGAAGGAGGGGGAGGAGCGGGGCCCGGGCCGAAACACGACGGAGGGGAGCGGGAGACGGGAGGGAAGCGGCCCCAGCAGAGAGCAGAAGATCCGAGAGAGAGGGCCCCCCGAGGGGAGTGGACGACGGCGGAGGAGGAGGAGGAGGAGGAGCAGGAGGAGGAGGAGGAGGAGGAGCAGGAGGAGGGCTCCGTGTCGCGGGCCGTTTCTCCTTCTCTTCCCCCCACCGCCCGCTCCCCCCGGCGGCGCCGGGCGGGGCGCGCGCGCGCATCTTTGTTCCCGTCTCGTTCCCGCTCCCGATGGACGTGTTTCCCACCATCACCACCATAAGTTGGAGGGGGGAAGGAGGAGGAGGACGAGGAGGAGGAGGACGAGGAGGAGGAGGAGGAGGAGGAGGAGGAGGAGCAGGATGCGGAGGATGCGGAGGAGGAGTAGGAGGAGAAGAAGGAGGGCCCCCTCCCCCTCCAACTTATGGTGGTGGTGGTGGTGGAAAACGGGCCCAGCAGCTCCCGTCTCTCTAGGCCTCCTTGATGCGGTCGGAATAGATGGGGTCGGAGGATCGCGCCGCAGCGCTGACACATCGGCGATGCATCGGCGATGCGGCTCGACGTATCCGTTGCAACGCAATGCAGCACAATTCTCCGGCGCAGCACAGTTGCAACACGATTGCCCCAGATCTGTCGCACCGCCCCCCTTGCAGGCTGGACCCCCTCCTGGGTCACCCAAGAGGGGGACACCCCTGCAGCAGGCTGGACACCCTCCTGGGTCACCCAAGAGGGGACATGCCCTCCTGGGTCACCCGAGAGGCTGGACCCCCTCCTGGGTCATCCAAGAGGGGGACACCCCTGCTGCAGGCTGGACCCCCTCCTGGGTCACCCAGAGAGGGGGGCACGCCCGACCTGACCCGAAGACGCTGCCCTCCTCGCCGGTCGGGCCGGGCGCTGCACGCCTCGAGGTCCGCGGGGAGCTGCGCGCCCCGGCCCCGCCCTCGGCGCCCACTGCAGCGGCCAGCGGCACGTCGGGCCAGGCCACCCACGGGAGGAGTGTATTCCAAATCGTAAAACAACAGCCTGGGGACGATGTTTGGCGCAGTTTTTTTGGACCGTTGGGGAGTCTGTTCTGAGTATGCTTCACTTTTCGGCCAACATCTGCCTGCAGGGGGAAATGCCCAACCTGAGGCCAGCAGGGAGCGTGCGGTCGGTCCGAGGTACAGTGAGCGGTTTGAGTGCGGAACACTTACTTTCAAATGGGGCGCGGTCATTCCTTAGGATCGCATGCGTTGTGTATCGGTCCTTTCTGCGTTATTTCTGGTTTATCGTTCCTTTTGCGTTATCCCTTGGAAGAAGGGGCCTTCGTTCCTTATTCATCGATCCTTTGGTCAGGCCGATGATTGTGTCAGATCGAGTTCGGTTCGGCGAGGGTACTCTCAGGTCCTTCATGCTTGCCCGATGCTCTCGTGCATCCCGGGGGAGGGTGCCCTCGAAAGTTCTTCAGTCTGGCCGGCGGAAGGTCTCGTGCCCTTGAGGGGTGTTCTTCCGTCCCAGGTCCAGCCATATGAGAGAGACTCGCCATGGGGGGAACGGGTCCTGGGGGGAACGGGGCCTGAGGTTTTTCTCAGTTTTCGGGCTCTGTGGGCCCTCCACGGCCCCCAGGATTGTCAGAAAGCGGCTCAGGATGCAGAGCTCGACGCCAGCGAGCAAGGCAAGGTAGCAGAAGAAGACGCTGGGAGCCCAGCCTCGATCTCATCACTATCCCTAAGATCGACAAGCCCCGATGTGATGACAATTTTGGGGATGCGCCCTGAGAAGCTGAAGGAATCCCCAAGGTCGGCATCGAGATCAGGTGGTGCCCATCATGGGGGTAGGGGTATGCTCCAGGCTGGTAATCATCCCTCTTTCTCACTTGACCCCTCCCCCTCCTCCCGTCCACCCAGCCCCGCGCTGCGGGCCGCGCGGGCGGGGTGCAGGGCGGGGCCGCGGCCCCACCCCGCCAGGCGGCGGCAACGCAGATGTCGAGGATTTCATCAAGGCCAGGGGTGGGGTGCCCGGGAGAGCAGGGAGGGTCCTGGGCATCGGATGTCATTGCGAAAGCCTTACGGCAGGTGGCGCCGACCCTGAAGGTGGGACCTCCCCCGGAAGCCCCGCTGGCGCCGCCTTCCCCCATCCGGAGCCGCCGAGGTGACTTCACCGAGGCCATATGGGGGGAGTGCCAGGGAGAGCGGGGAGGGTCCTGGGCATCCGATGTCATGCCTGCCCACCCGACAGGTTTCAGGCAGCGGCGAAGCGTCCGGGCCCGCCTTCACGAGTGGTTGGAGGACGCGCACGTGCATGAATCCGCGTTGGTTTCGAAATTTCGCATTGCGCGATCGTTCGTAACACGAGGCTGGCATCGGGAACTGGGGGGCTGTACCCATGTGGGTACGTGGCTCGGCGCGTGCGTCCTCTGCGGGTTCCATATGTTCTCGGCTCACCCGGGAGCGTTCTAATTACCTACATGAGGTCGCTCGTGATCTGCGAATATGTATGGCTGAGTCAGCTTTGTTTCGTTCATCGGCCTTAGGCTATAAAACCATTGTCTTGATTGCTACTGCAATGCTTTGCTCTAAGAGCCTTCTAAGAATGCTGGGACCGTCCGTTCCTGCTCAAGCGTTGGGGTTGTTACCATCGTGCTCGTTTTTCTGACCGTTTCCCTTCGTTTCTCCCTAAATAAGAAAGTGCCACATACAAATATACATTTTTTGCGCTCCTCGCAGATTTCTCGGATTTGCGCCAGGGGCGGCACCGGAGGCGCCGCCGAGGGGGCCCAGGCGCAGATCCAAGAAATCCGCGTTGAGCGCCAACAGTTCTTGTTTATGAGTTTTTTTTGTTCTACTCCCCCGCTTCGCCCTCCGCCTTTTTTCAGTTCCCTCCAGGGGGCCACATGCGAACCCTGTCCCTACCCACCACGATCTCCGAGGGGGAGAGTGGGGTTCACTTCGCTCGGGAGCTCCCCAACGAAGTGAACCACACTCCCCCCTGACTACCTACCAGACCAGCCCAACCCAACCCGAAGACCCGAATTTGACCCGAATTTCTGGTTTGGGGGGGGGGGGGTAGGGGTTCCATGTGTTTTTTCAGTGTTCCCAGACCCCCCCCGACATGGAAATCGAGGGCACATTGAGGCCTTCGGATTGGGTTGGGGTGGTTTGGTGAGTGGTCATCCCCCTCAGATCTCGTGGGGGCTGGGGGCAGGGGTCGCATGTTGCCCCCTGCCCCCTCGTCGTTCGGTCGTCCTGCGCACTCTCCTCTTTGCCGCTGCTCCTTGCGCCCCAGCGCCCCCCCCTCCCTTTGCGTGCTCTCCGTGCTCCTGCCACTGGCCCCCTGCCCCCCCCCCATCCACAGGTCATTGCCAGCTGCCGGCTGGAGGTGCGATGGGCTCCACAATAGCCAGGTGTAAGTCAGTCCTGTCCCTCGACAAGAGCGGTATTCAGAATAGTCTACAAAATAGTGTGGGGACGATGTTGGTTGAATTTGATGAGTCTTTGGGGGGTATGTTTTCAGAATTTTTTAAATTTTCGTCCAAAATCCGCCTGTAGGGGGACATGCCCGACCTAAAGCCAGGTGTACTGCGAGACGCTGGCCCTCCCCCCAGCGTTCCATCCATCCATCCATCCAATTCCCCGTCATGACAGCTGTCGGCTGGAGGTGTGACTAACCTCATAAAGCCAGGTGCACTGCGAGTCGTTGCCCCCCCCCAGCGTTCCATCCATCCATCCATCCATCCATCCATGCATCTATCCCTCCAGCGTTCCATCCATCCATTCATTCATCCATCCATCCATGCATCTATCCCTCCAGCGTTCCATGCATCCCTCCCTCCATCCAGCCAGCCATCCATCCGTCATGACGGCCAAGCTGGGTGTGTCGGCCGCGCGTGACGGCGACGGGAGGTTGGGGGGCGCGGGCCTGCTCCGCGGCGGCGGCGGCGCGGAGGGCCCGGGAGCAGGCGGGGGGGGGGGTGGGGGAGCGTGACGAGGGATGCGGCGGCGAGCGGGGGCGAGGACGGCGCGGGGGCTGTGAGTCAGAGGCCAGGCGAAGGCTGGCAAACCCGTGTCTGCTAAAACGGAGCTCCTGGAAATTGTTTTCTTGCGGGGAGCAGCCCGTTGACTATTTAGTGCTCTGAGTTCTATTCCAGGAATTTGTTTGTGTCTTCCGGGAAGACCGTTTTAGCAGCCACGGATTTGCCAGCCTTCGCCCAGCTTCCGAGTAAGGGACGCCGCGGCCGCGTGCGGCGAGGGGGATGTGCTCGATTGCTGTGCCCCCGTCAGGATAACGAGCTTGATGACAGGGCGGCCGCTGATCTGAGGCGCCTGGGGGTTTGCCTGCCGCCACGCGATCTGGTCGCAGGCCCTGCTGTGCGGCCACGCGCTTGTACTTGTACCACCAGCACGAAGGGCACGATCAGGCAGTGTCTCACGAAGATGCTTCTACTGAGCATGAGGAGGAGGAGGAGGGCGAGGAAGAGGATATGCACGAGCTTTATGCTCTCACCCCTGATGGCACGCGTGCCAGCAGATGGCAGCGACGAGGGGCGACGAGTTAGTCCTGCTTCTGCTATTATTCTTGCTACTGCTGATCTTACTACTTGCTACTGCTTGGCTGTGCGCATGTTCATGGTGAGCAGTGCGCCTCGTCAACGAGGTCAGCGGTGTTACCCAGTTGCACTAGGTCGATCAAACAACATGTAATGTAACGTGTTGGTGCCCAGCTGCTCCATGAAGCACATACCTCGCCCTTTCTACGCTTCTGTCTACCGCGAAGTGGAGCGACGCTGGATGCGGGAGGGATGTGGAAGGAGGAGGGAGAGGGGTGGTGATGGAGGGAGAGGATGGAGGAGAAATGTGGGAAGCAAGCTGGGTGCCACCCATCTCTTCCCATTGCGCTGAATTCGATACAATCCGCCGACTGGGGTGGCTTAGAAGGCCTTGATCACCAAATGTCAGTCGCAGGATTTGGCCTGGCGTCCCTTGCGCAATCGGTGAAGTGAGGCTTTATGGCTTTGTGCCTTGGTGGAGGAGGATGAAGCAATGAGCAGGTGGAGGATGAAGTAGGAGCGGGAGGAGGTACAGTCGTGTTCGTCTTGGTCCACTTGTGACGACGAGCCAGGCACTTAACGACATGTTTTGCAATGCGCCACCTACGGCTAGTTCTGTTGTCCCAGATGCGTTTTCGATTGGCCCGGTGGTCGAGAACGGGCCCCGGGGGCCGAAGTCGTAACGTTTGATGAGGCGTCCTGGGAGACCGCCGTTGCTTTCTTTTTGCACATTGGCGCATACAGATGCAGCTGAAGTCAGAGGCTTCCTGAACTGCCGCAGAGAAAGGTGGAAGAGGAAGGACCGTTGGAAGGGGACATGTTCAGAGGGGCATGCATCGACCCTCAGTCGCCCATTCATCTTCGATAGTGGCGTGACAACCCAACCCGCGCAGCAACGTGTGGCCTCTCCCAATATATCTGCGATGCATCGATTCTAGGTCGAAGCTCTCCCACTGAGCGCCCCCACCCTCCACATCCGCTGATCTGTTCCTGCAATCCGCGGCCCGAGGTCCCGACCGCTTCCCCCGGGCCAGGTTTTCACCCTGCATCCATTTTTTATAGCCCTGGAGCGGGATGACGAGCCCTAGAGTTAGAACGCTCAGGCTCCGTTAGGGATTGGTTTCCCCCCCCAACTGTCTGAATCCCTTTCGGAAACACTCCCAGAACCCTCCGAAAAGCTCTGGGAACCAGTCTGGGAGGGTTTTTACAAGGTTTCGGGAAGGTTCCAGTCGTTTTGGAGGGGAAATGTAGACCACGCCGCCGGAGGCTTGCCGACGCGGCGCGCGGCGCGCGGCGCGCGGCGCGCGGCGCGCCGCGGCGCCTGGTGCGCATCTGAAGGGGACCTCAGTGGGCGCACATCGACTTGGAATTCGTCATGCGTTGCCGACAGATCAGCGATCGGCCACCCAGTAGCGAATGACCACTGACTCACCACGCTGCGCCGTCCCTGGCGAATTTTGGACGCTCTCAGAGGCCGAGATCGGGGAGCATGGCCTGGATTGAAGTCATCATGTCGTCGGAAATCTGGGGATCGGCAACTCGGCGGCGCGCCCAGGGGGAAGTGTCGCTGTGCTTCTGGTCCGACTTCGTCCTGTCGTGTTTCACCGTTTCAGCTGTGCTGTGGCAGCTCGTGCCCTGTGCCGTTACGACGCTCGCTCTCAAATGTCTGGCAGCTTCTCTCTGTGCGCGACGGTTGTAGAGCCTCAATTTTATTGCTGAGGTCACCGATCCAGCCTGGTGCTCAGAGAGTTTTTGCGTTGCCGCTCGCTCTTGGGAGCCTTGCTATGCAGAGCACTTTACGTCGCCGCGCTCTGGGGAGCCGTGGTGAGGAGATGTCGGACAGGAAGGAGCGCATGGCTCTGCAACAAAAAGAGGGGGCAGGCCTTCTCAAAAGGCGGCGGAGCTTCTCATGCAAGGGCCCCCTGGGGCCCAAGGGGCAAGATGCACGCTCCCCCCACCCATTCATCGTTCCCTCTTAAGCAACGCCCGACGATTGTAAGGTGAGCATTTGGAACACTGGCGTAGCACAACGTGCAGGGAAACAGAGATGGTAGGGAGGACTGGGCGGGGCCAGGACGAGGATAAATCCGCTCCAGAGCGTTCCGGAACGCTCTCAGAGCATCCCGGAGCGCCCTGAGGCCCGGCATATTTTCTAGAGCCGCTTGATCTCAGAGATTCTCGATGTCTCCTCACCCGAACTCATCCTCGTCCCAGCTTCGTCTCACGCCGCAGCCTCACGCCCCAGATCAGTAGAGCTCGAGCGAGGAGGTCGCGCGCGCCCCGCGCGAGGGACCTGGCGCCCGACCTGCAGAGGGTCGTGCTCGCGCGCGGGGACCTCAGGAGCGCGAGGACGCGCCCGGCCGGGCTAGAACCCCCCGCCTGGGGGAGGGCGAGGGCGAAAAGGGCGAGGAGGGCGAGGGGGACGAGGAGGGCGAAGAGTACGAGGAATACGAGGACGAGGAGGAGAGGGAGGAGGAGGAGGAGGAGGAGGAGGAGGAGGAGGAGGAGGAGGAGGAGGAGGAGGAGGAGGAGGAGGAGGAGGGGAGGAGGAGGAGGAGGAGGAGGAGGAGGAGGAGGAGGAGGAGGAGGAGGAGGAGGAGGAGGAGGAGGAGGAGGAGGAGGAGGAGGAGGAGGAGGAGGAGGAGGAGGAGGAGGAGGAGGAGGAGGAGGGAGGAGGAGGAGGAGGAGGAGGAGGAGGAGGAGGAGGAGGAGGAGGAGGGGGAGGAGGAGGAGGAGGAGGAGGAGGAGGAGGAGGAGGAGGAGGAGGAGGAGGAGGAGGGGGAGGGGGAGGAGGGGGAGGAGGAAGAGGAGGAGAAGGAGGAGGAAGAGGAGGAGGAGGAGGAAGAGGGCGAGGAGGGCGAGGACGAGGACGAAAAGGACGAGGAGGGCGTCGAGGACGAGGTCGGCGAGGGGGACGCGGAGGAGGACGAGGAAGACGAGGAGGAAAACGATGTCGAGGGCGTCGGCGGCGTCGGCAGTGATTGCCGCGCGCTCGGGGGGACGGACGGGGAGGAGGAGAGGGTAGTCCTTCGCCCGCTAATCAGGTCTGCCTTTAGGGGGTTATCGTTCCTTGGATGCTCCTTTGGGAGGGATGCAAAGAGGAGAAGAAACGAAAACCAGAGGCAACGATATTTAGGGGGGCTACGCTCCAGGTTCGAGGTTCTGGGTTCTCGGCGGCTTCCCAGTTTCGGGATGTTTTCCAGCGGCTGCGCCTCGCCGCGAGCGTTTCGGGTGGTGCCCAGATCGTTCCGAACGGCTGTCGGATGCTCGAGTTAGGGAAAAAGGTGGAACTCAGACAGCATTTCGAAACCCGAAAAACCAGCAGGGCCCAACCCGAAGTCTCGACTGGAGCGAATACCGAAATCTCGGCAAGCCCAAACCCGAAACCATCATGAGGGGCGAGATCCGACGAGCTGGGAGGGGGCCTACTCTGAACTACTCAGGAGGGGATCTCGAAGGAGGCAGGACGAGGTAGTAGTCGGCAGGAGGAGGAGGTATGAGGAGTGGGAGGGGACAGGACGTGGTAGCAGTGACAAGGAGGTAGGACGAACCAGGGTGCATCTGGAGAAGGCTGGTGGACGTAGGAGGAGATATGACAAGGCAGACGGTGGTAGGGTTCTGCAGATCTGGCGGTTGCTTGTGGGTCTTCCTCCCTCGGTGTCTGCCGGCCTGCCGCTGCCCTGTTGCGATTGGAGTGGCGGTGTATATTTGTTCCCGCCTGCGGTGTATATTTGTGCTCGCTTCCAAGGCGTTGCCACGTGTCGAGTAGAGTGATATTCGTATATGTTCGGTCTGCGCGGCGTTGCCACGTGATGAGTACAGCGGAGGCTCACTCCTTGTTCGCTTTCCATGCCATTTAGTCACGTGGCGAGCGGAGTGGGATAGCTTCTTGTCTGCCCCTCGGGCCTTTCCACGTGGCGTTGCCCTGTGGCGGATCGAGAGGAGCAGCATGTGTTGCGGGCCCGCTTCGTTGCCACGTGCCGAGTCGAGGCGCGCGCGCGTGCGGGCGGGCGGGCTGGCAAGCGGGCGGGCTGGCGCACATGAGCGGGCGCGCGGGCGGGCGGGCGGGCGCGCGGGCGTTCGCCCCGCAGGCCCTGCGACGTGGCGATTACAGTGCAGTAGTCATTGTTTCCCTCTCCGGGCGTTCCCACGTGGCAAGAAGAGTGACATGATATATGATCCCGGCTCCCGGTCCGACAGGCCCCCCCCTCTCAACGGCACCGTAACGGGTACTTACTAATGGGCACTTTGAAATGTTACCGAAAGTTGCCTTTTTAGGGCCTTTTTCTGTCATTGCAGCGTTGCCCACATCGGGAAGGGTTGGGTTCGCTGGGTCACTGGCCAAAGTACCCGTTAGTGGAGTCCCCGTTTGAGGGGCACTGACCCTCTGGATGGGATGGGTCCCAAGACTCGGCGGGCCCCCTCGCCCCCCCCCGTCGTCGTTCCTCCCCCTTCCCCCTCCCTCATCTCCCCTCGCCCCCACTCGTCTGGGGGAAAGGGTACCCACGACCGCAGGCTCCGACGAGTTGGGGTGGCAGTGTCTAGCAGCCCAGAGCCGACCCGACAGTCGGACGTCAGGTTTATACATGGCCCACTGCCTGGTCGGCACCAGTCCGTTCCCCAGGGGTGAGCTGTTTTGTTTAGTTAGTGCGGTGGCCCAGTCCAGGGGCCCGATGGCTTTTGTCACTGACACCGAAGAAGTTAGTCGTGGTTTTGGGGCTAATCTTCTCCTGGCCCGGAGGGGGGCGAATGCCGATTTGTGATGGAAACTTGGAGAAGTCATTCAGGCGACGGACCGTCATCCTGGTGACCTTTCTGTGCTCCAGGTCCCCTCCCACTTAGAGGCTGAGGAAGTTGTTGCACGCAATCTGTCGGGGCCCCTTGTTGGGAGGAATATGTTCGTGGACCAATTGGCAGGAGTCGCTGCTAAGTCTTTTGGTGTCCCGTGTGCGCAACGTACCCGTTTACTCCAGGTCGAGGCCGATGTTCGGTTGATCAGGGAACGATTGCTCAGGACCACGTTGGAGGCGATCAAGGTTGAAGGGAAAAAGCATCGGCGCCCTGCTGCTGCTGCTGCTGCTGCTCCTCCCCGCCCCTTGTGGCCGTGGCTCTGTTCTGTTCCCAGTATGTGCTACAAGAGTGCGGGCAGAAATGTTCCAGATGCATGAGCTCTACCTCAGAACTGGGTAGGGCTAAATGGCTTTCCACATAATGCTTCGACCTCGTCAATGTGTCGACGGTGCTTTCCACATTGCCTCCGGTCGTAATTTACATCTTGCTGGCGGAGTGGTCCACGTTTCCCACATTATGTTATATCATAGCGACCTGCATTTAAGGTTTTGCAAAGACTGTGGATGTTTTGGTCACCAGCAACTGCGTGGCCTGGCGGGTCTATGTCATGTCCACAAGGCCCCTCCCAGAGGCTCCCATGAGTTTCCATCGAAGACGTGAGGGGGTAACCCCACATATTCTCATCCGGCCATCTGGCTTTGGTCGCAGCGGAGCTCCGTCACCACCTTCTCGAACGCCCGCGCTCCCCCCCCCATCCTCCACCTCCAAGCCCCAGTTTTGCATAGCCGAAAACCTCTAGCACCCAGGTTGCGGACCTCAGCCAGCCATCTCCCCCCGTGTTCCATCCCTGTTGGATGCAACTCTTGGGCGGTTAAATGCCGCATCGGCGATGGCATATCCGTGGTCAAAAAGCTGCCCAATCCGGCATATTCCTGCGTAGTGTGGCTTCATACCGCCTAGTGTGGCTGAATTGCGGGCTTAGTGGTCCTTCTTATCGGGCTAATTGGCTCTTCGTAGTTTTTACGAAGACCTTCCAGGAGTTGTTTCCGAATTTCCTATCCTCTCCTCCAGCCTAGCCCCTGCGAGGAACCCGTCCTCGGCCCTCATCGCCCGCATCAGAGACGCGCTGCTCCGCCCGAGTGACAGCGACCCTCCTCTCTCTGCCCTCTTCCTCTGCCTGTGTGTCTGTGCACTTCTGTCTACATTTCATTTTTTATAAAACAGATATTTGTGTGGTGTGGTTTCCATCAAAACATGCATACATAGACGCACACGCGGACATGCTCACATATATACATACAAACGACCAAGCACACATATATATACATACGTATCTACACCACTACATGCATGCATACATGCATACATTTTTTATATGCACGCATACGATCAGGTATACACACATACATACATACACATGCGTGCACACATGCATATCTACCTTTCTGCTTACCCACCAACGCATCCGCCTAGCTACATACACGCATTTACACATACACACAGACATACACATGCGTACACACATCTGCATATCTACCTGCCGACTGACTTACCTACACATCCGCCTAGCTACATGCATAACTTTACACATACACACATACATACATGCGTACACACATACATGCATGTATACCGACACCCATTCTTGTATACACATACATCCATACGTACACACATGCATGCATGCATACATACACAGTCATCCACGCATGCAGACATACCTTCATGCATGTATGCATACATACATGCATCTGAATCCATTCATTCGTTCATACATACATACACACATGCATACATACACGCATACACACCCGGCCATCCATTTACACATACATACATACCCACATATATACATGTACACGTATATGCATACACGTACGCATACAAATGTACAGACATTCAGACACACCTACACGCATGCATGTACACATATACGCACAGCCATACATACAAACCTACATGCATGCATACATACATTCATACAGCCATACGTGCATACATACATACATATACACATACATACATACATACATACGTTCATACACAGTTAGTTGTCATCGTTCGGGGCGAGGGAGGGTGGTCATGGTGTTGCTCTTGTGCCCCTCTGCCTGGTCCTCACAGCTGAACCGGGCACCTGCGAGTTGCTACATCAGTCGTGCCGTTTCGTTCGCCGCTTTTCCGATCGGTGCGGCAGTGTTGCCAACCGTAATGCAGTAAGCAATACCAGGGGGGCCGTAGCGCCCCACAGGCACGGGGCGATCCAACAATTGTTAGCAAGCGTGGACCCAGAAGAGTGCGTTGCAGAACATTCAGTGATGCGAACTATGTGGTGCAGGCTATGTTGTACAAGCTATGTGGTGGAGAATCAGTGTTTCAATACACGTTGCGCAGTCTATGCTGTGTGAGCTTGAGTTGTGCATTTTACGCAAAGCAACCTACTTGGTGTGATGTATGTGGTGTGAGCTCGGTGGTGCAATCTATAAGCTACGTGGTGCAGTCTATGTTGCACGCCATCCCTGGTGCAAGCGATGTGGTGCAATCTATTTCCAGCACGCTATGTGGTGTAAGCTATGCGGTGCAACCTATGTGGTGCAGCATTGGTGGTGCAACATCTGTGGTGCATGCTATGTGGTGCAAGCTACGTGGTGCAATCTACGTGGTGCAATTCACTTTGACTGTCTTGAAGCTGTCCTCTCCACTGCTCGTGCAAACATCCCACCCTCCCAGCCGCAACTTGATCGCGAGACCTCTTGAGACCGTGACGGTAGGTGCCACAATGCATTTGGCAACGACACCGACGCCGACGACGACAGCGACAAAGACGACGACGACGCCGACGACGACTACGACGACACCGGCGGCGACTCCGACGACTTCGACGACGACAACGACGACGACACTGACGATGACGACGACGCCGCCGACGCCGACGACGACGACGACGATGACAACGCCGACGATGACGACGCCGACGACGCCGACGACGACGACGACAACGCCGACGACGCCGACGACGACGACGAAGACGACGACGACGACGACGACGACGACCTCGCCAACGAAGATGACGTCGACGACGAGGGAGGAGGGAGGACGACGACGGCGACAACGACGGCAACGACGAGGGAGGAGGGAGGACGGCGACGACGAGAACGACGAAGAAGGAGGGAGGACAGCGACGCCGACGAGGACAACGACGAGGGAGGAGGGAAGACGACGACGACGACGGCGACGACGGCGACGAAAGAGCAGGGACGACGACGAGACGCCAACGACGGACGACGACGACGACGACGAGGGAGGAGGAAGGACGACCATGGTGACAACGACGACGGAAACGACGACGACGACGCCAAAGAGGACGACGACGACGAGGAAAGACAGAGGACGACGACGACGACGCAAGAGCGCGCGCGCACGTTTTTGTTGAAATTCCGTGTTGCGAAACCCTGCGTTTTTTTTTTTTGTTTTTTGGGAACTCGATTTTGAAATTCGTCCGAAACCGAAGGTTTTCGAATGATTTCTTCGGCATGAGCGCGCGACGACGCGCGCGTGCATTTTTGTGCAGAGGATTCTCACGATGGCACGCGCGCAAGGGCGTTTGAACGATTTCGACACGCGGGCGCGCGAAGCCTGTGTAGCATTCTCTGAAATTCTTGGGAAACTGCATGGTTTTCTTCAGATTTCGCAAGAGAACGCGCGTAAGCTTTTTTAGAAATTCAGTGTTGCGAAATCATGTGTTTGTATGTTTTTTTTGGGAAGTCGATTTTGACATCTGTCCTACACCGAAGGTTTTCGACGAATTTCGGCATGCGCGCGCGACGACGCGCGCGTGCGCGACTCGTCCTGTGTTTGGCCAGGGATTCTCGACAACGTCTGATTTGTTGATGAAAGAGTGTGCGCGCATTGTATTTTTGTTTTCGCAAGGGGGCCGAGGGGGGGTCGATACAGGTTTGGCTGGGATAGTATGAGTTCACAGCTCCGATGGACGATGGGGCAGAATCGATTGTAAATTGCAATACGAAAAGGGGAGTCCGGGAAGGGGAGGGTGGTAGAATCCATTTCTTTTGTTAGACAATACAGTTGCATCCCATAGCAGTGTCTAGCTGAGCCTAGCACTGCGCGTCACGACGTAACATTGCTTAGCAGAGTATTGAAAGAGCGTGCTCTACCGCTGCTGGCGTCACTACCAGTTCGACCCCCCCCCCCTCCCTCCGGAAAACCGGAGGGGGCCACTACCGGTTCGAACCACTCCCCCCCCCAGTCCATCATGAAAAGGGGGGGGTCATTACCGTTTCGAACACCCACCCCCGTCGAAAGCCGGGGGGGGGTCACTACCGGCTCGAACTCGAAAACCGGGAGGGGGGTGCGGACTGGTGGGGACGGTGTTGGTTTGGACAGCGAAGAGGGGACAGCGGGACAGTGGTGGGGACAGTGGGACAGTGATGGGGACGGTGGTGGTGGGGACAGTGGTGAGGACAATAGCGGGAACAGTGGGGACAGTGGGGACAGTGGTGGGGACGGTGGTGGTGGGGACAGTGGTGTGGGGACAGTGGGAATGTTGTGGAAACAGTGGGACAGTGAAACGTACGGTGGTGGTGGGGACAGACTGTGAAGGCGGTGGCGAGGACAGCGGGGGGGACCATTTGACAGAGGTACAGTGGGGACAACGGTGGGGACAATGGGGACAGTGGTGGGAACAGTGGGACAGCTCAATGGGACAACGGAGGAGTCAGTGGGACAGTGGGGAGAAGGGGGTTTGTCGGGCAGTGGTTGGGGGCCGTGGAAAAAGTGGGGAGAGTGGAGCCGTGGTGGGAACAGTGGTGGGGACAGTGGGGA